GAATCAATCCATGAAAACAGACTCAATCCACAATAAGTCAGGAACCAAAACGAGAGTTCAAACAATCCTCCCCCATCGAAATCAACTAATCCAACCGGCTACATCTAAAAGACTGCCTACGTATCCTCTTGTCTAAGGAATCAAGCCTCGCGTAGTTTACCCAAATGGCCTCCAAAGGCCTTAACATCGAAGAATGTTTAATAGCTCCAAACAATGACCAAACTTAACACCCGAAATAACTTTGGTCAACATATCTGCAGGGTTATCCTTTATGTGGACCTTCTCCAACATGACATCTTCATCATCCAACACATCACGAACAAAGTAAAATCTGACATCAATCTGCTTCGTGCGTGCATGATAAACTTGGTCATTTGCCAAATAGATAGCCGACATGCTATCATAATGTACCCGAATGGTCTCCTGTACAATTCCTAACTCCTCTAACAATCCATGTAACCACAAAGCCTCATTCATAGCTTCAGTCACCATCATATACTCCGTCTTTATAGTAGAGAGAGCTACTGTAGACTGAAATGTGTATCTCTAACAAACCGATGCTTCTACCAATGTAAACACATATCTTGAAGTAGACTGGTGCTTGTCAAGATCTCCCGCATTATCAGAATCCACATAACCAATGCAATCCTGCCTAATTTTCTCATTCTTCTAATATACTGTAGAATCCACTTCACGACCTCCCAATGATCATTTCCAGGGTCGTGCATGTACCTTGATATCATGCTCACGGCCTGTGACAAATCTGACCTCGTACACACCATCGCATACATCAAGTTACCCACTGCACTAGCATATAGAACCTTCGACATATAATCTCTATCCTCAACTAAAACATGTAACATATTAGTTAGAAGCTTGAAGTGGGGAGCCAATAGAGTACTCACAGCCTTTTTATTGCCATCAAACCTGAATTTCTTCACCATCTTCTGTAAGTAATTCCTCTGTGTAAGCTTCAATCTCCCCTTCACCCTGTCTCTCTCGATCTCCATACCTAATATCTTCTTAGCTTCTCCAAGATCCTTCATCTCAAACTCGGATGACAGCTCTTTTTTTAACTTTCGAATAGTCGATGAATTCCTGGAATCAATAAACATATCATCAACATATAACAAAAAATAAATGTATTCATAATCCTATATCTTGTGCATGTAAACACATGGGTCATATGGGCTCCTCGTGTATCCATGGCCAATCATGAAGCTGTCGAATCTCTTGTATCATTATCGTAGCGATTGCTTCAAACCATAAAGAGACTTCTTCAGCTTGCACACCAAATCTTCCTTTCCTGTAGCTTTGAATCCCAATGGTTATATCATGTAGATCTCCTTACTAAATCTCCGTATAGAAATACTGTCTTAACATCCATCTGGACCAAATCCAAATCTAACTGTGCCACCAATGCTAATAAAAACCAAATCGGCGAATGCTTCATAATGGGTAAAAATACCTCATTGTAATCAACACTCTCGAGCTGTACATATCCCTTGACAACCAATCTGACTTTGTACCTAATGTCCCAATAGAAGATCTCTCTTTTTTCGTATATACTCACTTGCAACTAATAACTTTCTTTTCCTTAGGTATCTTTGTAAGTTCCCAAGTATCGTTCTTCTGAAGAGACTGTATCTCCTCCTCTATAGCTTCCCTCTAACTGATCAAATCAGAGCTAGACTCTGCCTCCCTAAATGTAGAAGGAACTATATCATCAATGACATCCACTGATAAAGCATATGCAACCATGACATTATTGTATCTAGCTGACCGACTAATTACCCTTCTAGGTCTATTTGCTACAATGGACTCCTGAACATGACGCTGCTCCTGAGTCTCACCATCCACTGTATCCTCCAAATATCTGTTTGTTATCTCATCTTCTTCCAGTATCACCTCTGTATGAACCTCAATGGATACAATGCTATCTGGAGTGTGTGGAGTCACATCATCCTCCACCTGTTACGATATCCTACAAATCTGGTCTTCCTCCACCTGCTGAGGAACTTGAGGCCTCATCATGTACACCTCATCAAATGTGATATCTCTGCTAATGACTATCTTCTTGTCCCGTGGATCCCATAACTTAAAGTCTTTAACACATTCTCCAAATCCTATAAAGTCTGCTTTCCTCATCATCGGATTCAATTTTCCATCATTAACATGATAATAAGCAGGACACCTGAATATCCGAAGTGACTCATTGTCACTATCCACCGAATCAGACCAACGCTCCATAGGGGTCTTCCCCTGTATCACAGTGCACGACAACCTATTAACGAGATGACTCACATAAACTAACGTCCCGACCTAAAAGGATCTAGGCAATCCACTCTGTGTCATCATACATCGCATCTTCTTCAACTATGTACGATTCAATCTCTCAGCCACCCCGTTCTGTTACGGTATCTCTTGAACTGTGAAGTGTCACCTAATACCGTGATCCTGATAAAACTGCAAAAATGGATCACTCTTATACTCTCCACCATTATCTGAATGAAGATTTTTCACCTTTCTACCTGTTTGCAGCTCCACTTTCCTCTTTCACTCCACAAAAATATTCAGGACCTCATGTTTATGCTTCATTATATATACCAAATTTTTTCTAGAATAGTCATCAATAAAAGTAACAAAATAGTTGGTTCCACCGAGTAATGTGTGCTTGGAAGGGCCCTAAATATCTGTGTGACTATAATCTAATATACCTTGGGTGTTGTGAATAGTGGTGCCGAACTTCACTCTAGTCTTCTTTCTAAGTACACAATGCTCACACAGCTCCATCTTACGGGTTTTCACACCTTTCAATAGCCCTTATTTTGTCAATATCTACAGGGACTTATCACCAGTGTGTCATAAACGCATGTGTCATAAGCTGGTAGTGTCCTCCTCTGTAGTGATAGAAGTTGCCAGACCCCCTGTAACTATCTTGCCCTTGAAGTTGACACCTCACTTTACCACTATAGAATCCTTTGTGATCTTCACAATAGCATCCTCTGAGATCACCAGATAACATGCTGCCTCCAAAGTAACAAGAGAAATGATGTTCTTCGTCAACTACGGTACGAACCTCACTTCTTTCAACTCCCTAGCGACTCTGTCATGCATCCTGATCTAGACTAAACTAATACCATCAATAGGGCATACATGGTCATTACCCATAAACACGACATCCCTTCTTTTCAGCTCCTCAAAGTTGGAGAACCAATCCCTCCTAGAACAAATGTGATATGTAACTCCCGAATCAACATCCACTCTGTAGAGTTGGCATAGCAAACAGACGGTAGTGCAAAGCATGAATAACCTGAAGAACCTGAATCTGAATGTTCGTCAATAGTTTTTACAACATTCACTTTTAAAGCTTGTACAATTTTCCCCTTGTTCTTTCCAACTTTATCCTTTAACTTTGGGCAGTCGATCTTCCAATGTCTCTCTTCTTTACAAAAACGATATTGATTTCTACCAACACTCCTATAACCACCTCTATTCTTCGATTTTGAGCGGTTGACTTGGCGGCGGTTTGGACTATAGCCTCGAACTGCTAATGCATCTTCCGATGCCTTCTCGGAGGCTTCGCCATCACTCTTCCTCAACTCATAGTTCACCAATGCTAAGGTCACATCTTTGTAGCTAACAGTAGTTGTTCCATTGATCATAGTGAGAACAAACGTATAATAATCATCCTCCAGCAACGAACACAAAAATAGCATCGCCTTGTCTTCATTCTCAACCATGATGTCCATATTAGCCATATCTGAAAGTAATTTCGTGAATTTATTTACATGCTCTCTAATGGAAAATCCCCTCTTTATCTTGAACTGGTAAAATCTTTTTTTTAAGTGAAGTTGATTCTCAATGCTCTTCGTAAGATACTTCTCATTGAGCTTTTTTTACAATCTCTTCACCGACGTCTCAATCATCACATCATAAATAAGATCCGGCGTCAAACATGACCGAATAACTCCACAACCGTACTGTTCATCTTCGTCCAAACCTTATCCTCCATGTCAGCTGGTTTTCCTTGTAGCTCAAGAGTCTCCTTCAAATTTTGTGCATCCAACGCATCCATCACCTGGCATCTCCACAAACCGAAATTGATATTACCATCGAACTTCGGAACATAAATCTTCATATTATTGATGCTCAGATTCTGTATCGTCTTTGTAAGAGACGATCCTGATGTTCTTGCTTCTCCCATATTGTAGATCTAACTCTCCAAGTAAGAATCCTTCAGCGAATCCTTCGAACAAACTCCAAGCCAAACCCGAAGCTTTGATACCACTTGTTGTGCGCAGCGGAGCTCGAAAGCCAAATAGTGCACGACAAGACAACGAGAAAGATCACAACCACACAAGCAACCACAAATCATAGCAAGACAAGCAAGTTTTATGTGATTCGGCAAGTTGTCTACGTCCACGGGGTAAGGAGGGAGGAGTATTTACTATTAGAGATAAAGAGAATTACAAATAGAGTTATAAATCTCATAAAAACCCTCAAACAAAGCTCTCTAGATCTCACACAAATCCTCCCACAAAGGATGCACAATACTCTCTCAAAAGTCTGATCAAATCGTCCTTGCTTAACCCTAAAAAACATGTTTAGGGTTATATATCAACTCACAATGAAACAGATCAAAAAACAGAATCAGGCCCAAACCTGCTACGCCGTCGACCGTCGAATCCATCGTGCGGTCGACCGCCAAAGGTCCAGAGACCAAATTGCCTACAGGGTTTTGACGCAGTCGACCGCAGAACCCATCATGGTCGACCGCCAAAAGTCCAGAGGCCAACCCTATCATGTGCACGTTCGCGGTCGACCGCCCTGCAGCATCATGTGCGATCGACCGTGAAGCTTCCAAAATGCCTCCTGCTTGTTTTCTCCTAAACTTCGTCGCCGTTTCTACAGTATTCACCCCCTCTAGGGTAATTTCAATTATCACATGTCTTACTACACGATTTTCTACAGATTTTCTAGGTTATATTTGAACGTACCTCAAGAAGAGCCTCTCCCAGGAATGGTAACCAGCGAGCTTTAGATTATGTTCAGTGACTGCACGCTGCTCCTCAGACCTGCCCGTCAATATGACCAATTTAAATCCAAGCCCTTGAAGCTCCTCATACAGCTTCAAGCTTGCTGGTAATGCTGGGGCCTTTGCCAGAAAGGCCCAATCATCGAATGAAGTCTCATTGAATTCCTCTGACCTGCAAAAGCATCAAAGACAAATTAAGATGAAAGGAGAAGATCACCGTTGACTGAAAAAAGAGAGAACAAAACAAGAAGAGCTTGTTATAGGAATACCAACTCATGTCAGGTACTGCACGAACTTACTAATTAGGTTCTCTTGGGCAAATCTTTAAAGAAGTGGATTAAGAAAAAAAGTTTAAACTAATTATTAATCTATTTCAAGCATATCGAGAAGATTTAGTTAACCAACTTCAGGCAAAATTTATTTATGAGGATTGTCTTTTTTTTTTAAATATATTTATAGGGATTATTTGTTTATTATTTTAGAATTTTTATTAGCATTTAGATCATCTCTTTATATCAAACATCCATTGCCACTAATCAAAACTTCAAAGTTATAGTGATAGTTATATACTCTCACACTTTGTTATTTGTACCTAAGAGGCGTATATGTAAAAATGGATCTCTTTACAACATACTGGAAATCAAGATATATATGTAGAAACTATTTTCTTAATACTTTGTTTGATACCATGTATGACACCCTTCAAAAAGAGTACACATCTATACCATTATATTAAATTCCTAGTAAGGACATCGAAAAGTATGAAGGACAATTGCCGCCACAATAGAAAGGCTAGGGGTATTTTGGTAATTTTGCGCTTTCTTAAAAAAATGGAAAATGCGCAATCACCCTCTCTCCCTTCAACACGTGTCCAAGATTTTTCTTTCCGTGTTGCACGTGCATTGAGATGTTTTTGTGTTTAGTCTAATGCATTATTATTTTTTTCTAGAAAATATTCTATATCATTTCAATGCCATGCAAATAAATCAAACATTTTTGTTTCTTTCTTTTTCGTTTAGAATATTCTATATCATTTCAATATCATGAAAATAAGATTGAAACCCCACATAACTCAATATTATTATAAAAAGTGTAAAGTAGTGGTAAAGATTTGTAAGAAAAAGTAAATATATGCACTTAGAAAACTAAGAGTATATACATATATATATTTATACTACTCATTATACTAATACATAATAAAATAGTGAGGTTAGAAATTCATAATTTTACAAGAGAAATTTAACTCTTTTCTTTGCTTATTTCTAGAACCTTCTAAATCACGACATGAGAATTTGATTTGAACTCAAATGATGAAATTCATGAAATTATATGATAAGAGATCTAAATATAAAATAACAATAAGAGATATAAATATCAAAAGATGAGCTTCTTTTCCAAGAAAGATAAAACATCATATATATGCCAATGCTAAACATAAAAATTTAAAAAATGACTATGATCAATTTAAAGCATATTTTAAATAATAGAAACACTTTTAAAATAAGTGGACAGGTCGAAACACTTTTAAAATAAGTGGACAATAACATTCTCATACACTTATTATAACCTCACCCCTAGGTCTCAGATTTATAATAACATTACAATATTACATTTTTAAGACTATGTCTTAAAAACTTTTGTGTGTTCTTGAGCAACTAAACTTCATACTATAAAACTTAGAAACCTAATGAAACTTTACTGCATTTTAATGCAATTAACCTTTTTAAATAAAATTTAGGATATGTAAGTTCGGAGTCTATTGCACGTGCATTAGCAAATGCAGTAATGCTAGTATATAATACCATTTGGACATCAAGTGCCTAATAGCTAACAAGAATGTTTAGAAATAATAAATTATTAACCCACATTGTTACGTAAGTAAAACTTATTATTGGAGAATTTGTTCTTTTAGTTACTTTAATGTGGAGCCCATGAAATGACATGCCACCCTGTGCCTAAGCCTTAGGGGGTGTTTGGTTCAATTTCTAGAAATTATAGGAAATGTTTTCCACCTAAAATATGATTTCCTTGTATTTCTTAAAAAAATTATAGGAAAAGTTTTGAGAAATCAAAAAGTACCAATTTTCTTGTTTTTTGCACTTTGCTTGTTTGGTTCAAAACAAGAAAATAGCTCATAACTTTATAGAAAATAATAAGATTTGGTAGGTTTTTAATTAAATATGGTATGTGTCAGATTTCTGGTGATTTCCTCTCATTTTGAGAGGAAATTGCTTTTTGTAAAATTTGGTAGGTTTTGATATTTTATAGAAAATATTTCTGTAAATTTTTTGTTGAACCAAACACAATTTACAGAAATCTCTGAAAAACTTTTAATTACAAATTTACCATTGTTAGATGTTTTGAGAAAAGTTTTCTTAAAAAGTGTGCAACCAAACAGCCCCTTAGCCTGAACCGGTATCCACGTAATCAATGATTGATCAATTCAATCCCAATCTCCTTACCTCATCCCATATAGAGAGGACCAACAAAATCCAACTTCAAAAAGGTAATGTAAAGAAAGAAAGAAAGAAATAAAGAAAAAGGAAAAGAAAAAGGAAAAAAAAAACTTGAAAATTGCCCATGATGTACTTTCTATTATAAAATGAAAAAATTCGAAAAAAATTAAGTTGTTGTTCCACGTCACTACCATTACAGCACGGGGATAATAGATATTGGGTTCCACTTCTAGCCGGATCAATTAACTAATGCTGGTGGGGTATTTGACAACTTCCTTAGTGGTCGTCTCTAATCTGGTTAAGGGTTTAAATTTTATTGGGCTAAAAGTAGGGCCTTGATTAAATCTTATTTTATTAACTTAAATTGGACTCTCAATTAAAGTAGATTTATTGGTCCACCTCTTTCCAGAAAGGAATTAATTAACTTGGTTAACGATTTTATCCCCCCATATCAGAACTAACTTGGCCAAGATCTTTACTTTTAGAGGGTTGGCAGACACTCTTCTTAGATTTATATACTACCATCAGATCAGTTTTCTACTCATTCAGGTAAATGGTTAATCATTCTACATATGCTAACTCAAGCAATTAACCCTTGAAGTCCTCTCATATATCAAAATATTGAAATGACAGTGAGGATTGAAAGTTATAATTTTACATTCTCACTTGTCCTTACAAATTGAAGGCCCACGGAATTTGAACCTGGATTTGCTCAGAGCATCATATTAAAACCCATGTTGCTATATAAAAAAAAAACTCTGAGGTTACGATGAGAACCGATAGTTATAACTTAATATATTTTAAGACTAACAGCCAATCAGTTGAACTTACAAGTAAAGGGGGGAAAATCCATAATATATATATAGTACGTACCCATATCCAGCATCTCTGTAGTAAGGCAGATTACTAAGCAAAGTCTCGTCAACATCAAACACCCACACATCCTTCCCATCGCCAGCAACCGGCACCGTCGTCGCGAACGCCAGCGCCTCTCCGGCGATGACTTCGGAGTCCGATAAGTACCTCTCCCCGTTCATGCATGTACGCAGCGACGAGCCCTGCATTTGAGGGACTACGCCCAAACGCCGGCGTTTGTTCGTACTCCTCCGATAGCCGCAGCTGTCAGCGAGAAGAGGTCGGCGTCAGCAGCGGGGCTCTCGACGCGAAGCTGGAGGTGGGCGAGAGAGGAGGGGAAGGAGGTGAGAGTTGAGATTAGGAGGAGGAGGAGGGAGAGGCTGAGGAGAGACATGAATGCGTGAGAGAGAGCGACAGTCAGGGGATCGGTGGAATATATTTTGTAGAGAGCTTTTTAATGGATGGGAGGAGTTGTTCTTGTAATTGAGTGTTATGCAATTATTGTGGTTGATGAATATTGGTGCTTGATATTATTGGGACTTGTTAATGTTGGAACATGCTTCAATGCGTTGACTTTCGATTCCGATTCCTTTTCTTATCGTAGGAGATGAAAATTGCCTTAGGGGGTGTGTGTGTTGTGTGTGTGTGGTGTGTGGGGGGGGGGGTGGGGGGGGGTGGAAGGGTTGCTTATTATTGGTGTAAATTTGGGGATAATGAGATAATTTTTGAAACAACACTTTTTAGTGTTATTCATTGGTGTAATTGGAACTGAATTCAATTTTATGGTGTTATTGATTTGTTGGTATAATTGTGAGACAAATACCCCACCCCAACTATATAAAGCCCCTTTACACATCGCCCTCAAATTATCCCAGATTCGTTGTTGGAACAAGATGGGGTAACCTTCCCCTGATCCTTCCTCCCCTTCCTCCCTCCTCCTCTCCTCTGCCCTCTCCCTCCACCTCACCGCCGCCCTCGACCACTTCCTCTCCCTCCTCGCCTGCCGCCCCCAACCTCTCGACCCGAAAGCCCTCGCCTCCATCAGCTACGCCCTCTCCTCCCCCCACTCATACGACGCCCGATTCCCCCGAGTTCTGGTTTCCTTGTTCGATCTGCAAGCAGGTCGCCTCACCGTTTACCATGGCCTCATGGTTCTCCATCTCCTTGAGTGTGTTTCTAATGGTAGTGGAGAGGGCGGTGGGATGGAGAGGAAGGTTTTACTTCATTTCATTTCGCTAGGTCTGGTTCGTTGTGGGTCGATTGGGTTCGAGGTTCTTTGTTTTTGTGCCTTTGCTCGGCATTGGTGGACGAAGTGTTTCTGTAATGACCGTGAATTTTGATACTAGTTAAAATAATTTTTCGGTATTTTTAAATATTAAATTATTATTTTAAAAAGAGTATTTTTATTTTTATTTTCTAGAATATACTATGATTTAAAAATCTAGTTTTATATTTACTTTAATAGTTTTGTTAATTATAAATTTAATAGTTGCGGTGAATATTTTTAGGTTGTTATTTGGTCATTGATATTGTTAATGATCTTGTTATTATTAATATAAACATGAGCATAGTACAAAAGTATATGAATATAAATATAAAGATATTTGGTTGTTAATATTATTATTCGTATAATTATTACTATGATTGTTATAATTATCACTATGTACATAGTACTTGGTTAATATTATTAATATTTGTTTAATATTGTTATACACGTGCATATTTTCTCTCCTCTTAATATTCCCTCTTTTGAATTCTTTTCTTAACCTCTTTCATAACCGACATTATCTCTCTAATTGATTCTGTCCATAAACTCTCCAATCAATCCCCTAATTTCCTTCCCAAACCAACCCCAATCACGTGCATAATCCCCTCTCTCCTCATCATCAATCATATTTTAATTTTTTATTATTAAAATTTTCCTATTTAAACCTCACCCAGCTCATCTCTCTCGTACACTCCTCTCTCTCTCTCTCTCTCTCTCTCTCTCTCTCTCGCTTCCCCCGCCTGCAGCCCAGCGACGCCCCCTCAGCCGCCTCCATCCCCCATCTCCAGTCCACCGCCGCCTGAGCCGCTCTCCGAGCTCGACCAGCAGCGCGCAGTCCCGCTTCTCCTCCGACACCCAGCTCTCCGACCCGCCACCGACAGCCTGAGCTCCGCCTCCCCGTAGCCTCGTCACCGTCGCTCTCCGATCGACCAGCACCTCCTCCGACACCCCCTGCAGCACCACCCTCGCCCCTCGCCGCCGCTGCCTCCTCTCTTCCTCCTGCAGCCGCGCCTCCTCAGCAACCTGACCACGACCCCATCTCCTCCATCACCCCCTGAACCAGCCCCGACGACCGCTTCCAAGCTCTCCCGATCTCGTCGCCAACCAACGCCTCCATCGCACGCCACATGTTCGACGATATGTCAACAGCCCCGTCGCACCCCGTTGAGCCCCTCAGTGATGACAACCGCCGTCGTTGTCGCCGTCCCCAAACATCGCCACTCGTCGTCAGGCCCTCGGCCTCGTAGGCAAGATCCTGATACTCCCTTGACTTGATATTCAATTCTTAGATCCGCTCTGAATTAATTAGTTACTTGCAAGATCCCTATTCTTGCTCAGTATAATTTTAGATTGATTACAAATTTATTATGCATACGAACTCGTTACCCGAATAATTATTCATTACAAATACGGAACTGTCGTGAACATATTGGACTGAGAACTATAACGTATAGAACTGTCGTGAACGAAATGGACTGTGGACAATAACGTATGACCATTCACATTGTAATACATATACGGTGGTGACCTGTACGGATTTATTTGACGAATGATATTAAAAATAATATGTGATAATAGATACTGTTATTTTAGATTAATTTATAATTTTAAAGAATTTTATTGACAAAATAATTAATTTAAAATAATTACTATTTTGGTGAAAAATCATTTTAGAGTAATTATAATAAATTAATAGAATTTATTTGATAAAAGAATTATTTTAGAATAATTATAAATAATTTAAAAGAATTTATTTTAGAATAAGTATCAATTTAGAATAATTTCAGTAATTTAAGAAAGTTTTATAAAAGGAATTATTTTAGGATATTTATAAATATTTTTAAAGGATTTATTTTAGAGAAATGATTATTATGAATTTTTCATGATTTATGTTTCTAAAATTTAATTATGTGATATGCTATGATCTTGTTGTATATTATTAGTCGCATTTATTACTCTTTGTTATGCTTGAGAACCGTTAGAAATTCATGACTAGTGTGGCCTGGTGTGTCCTGTTTAAGACTTAGAAACTTATGCGTATAGAAAACAAGAGAGTTGGGATGGAGAAGTTAATGTTCATGAGATCGGATAAGATTGTTGATGTATCTTCCAGGCTCGCTCCCGTGGTTGGTGTCGCCACCGGGGTTGGTTTGTAGGGCTAAAGTGAAGTGTGTACATCACTTTAGTCAGTGAAATCGTTTCGTCACTCGGGTTCTGTTTGAAGTTCGAACTAGGCAGAAAACGGTTTACGTGTAGTCCTCTAGGCCGCATGTGTAACGGGATTGGATGCACGTAGAGGATTTGTGAACAGTCAGTTATCCGATGATATGAGCGTTGACTCTGTGTGAGATGTGAACCAGTGACCTGTTATAGGATGGCTAGTTACATGACTTGTTACCAGTGGATCGGTGTCGCCACTGGAGTTGGTTTGTTGGATCAAGGTGAATCGGTGTCGTCACTTTGGTTAGGATTTATGGATTCTTGTGAGATGTAGGCCAGTTGTGTTTCTCTTCGTACATAGATCAGGATTAATATTTAATTATTTACAATTCATTGTTATTACCATTATTGCATTGGTCGCACGACCGTTCTATTCTCCCTTTTGGGATCTTGCCGTGTGCCATGCACCCTGACGTACACCTGTTTTCTCTGGTGTACGTCAGACTTAGAAGAAGAACAGGTTCAGCTTGGAGATGCGCCAGAGCTGAGTATTCTCAGCAGGAGTGTCTTGTAGACGAAGCATAAGAAGAGTTGAAGTTCAGTTATTCCTTTCAGTTTATTTTCGTAGCATTTCCTTTTCCGCCTGATCATTGTATTTTATATTCTCCAGTATTTCATTCAGATAGTTTGTATAAGGGCATGTTTGGCCTGAATATTATGTCTGGATGATCATTTCAGTTGTGATATGTATCTTTTGGTTCTGAGTTGCTTATTATATTCTCATTACTGTGATCGGGGACTCGTGCCTTCGTTTGTATTTCTTGACGCTTAGCGTATTAGATTGATAAGACGGGGTCTAGCACTTATCTCTTCTCAGTTTAATACGTCGCGGGCTTGCTCGCGTCCCGATTCTCTGGTATTTTGGGAAGCGGGGTGTGACAGTTTCCGCTGAGGGTTTTGATTCCGATGGTTCTGGAGGGGGAGGGGTAGCTGAGAGCGGTAGGAGATGAAGGAGAGACAGGAGGGGAGGGAGTTGCAGGTGTAGCCGCAGTTGAGCTGGGGGTTGTTCACCTCGTAGGCCTGTTGGGATTTTATAGAGGGGAGGAGGAGGAGGAGGAGGAGGAGGGAGGAGATGTGGGCGGGTCTCATGGTGGCTGTGTGGGTGAGTGGGTAATTGAGTGATTTTTTTTGTAAATTTATGGATGAGATTTAATATCTAAATTTAGTTTTTATGTAAATCATCATTAGAAGAATACATGGAGGAACTTGGCATTCTTTCGAGCTTGATAATTCTGGGAACAATTTGTTGTGGATGTGCATTCTTATGTTGTATATGTTTGTATATGTTATATATTTCATACCAATTGTCCCACTCAAATTGTTCCATTATCCCATTTTACCATATTTTACCTCATTTTATCCCACTCAAATTATCCCAATGGGTAAAATTATCCTATTAGGACAATTAACCCAAATTTCCCCAATATACCCCAATGAATAATCCCCCATTAGGGACCCTAAAACATGGGACCCTACATGAGACATGTGAGGTGTCGGCTCCCTGTCTCATGTAGGGTCTCATGTTTTTGAGTCCATGTAGCACCACTCTGTAGAGATTTAAAGTCGGAAATTTTGATAGAAACTATATTTTTTATACAGAAGTAATCATATAAATTGGTTTGACTTTAGGTGATCAAAATTGACTTGTGTTTTGCTGCGCTATTAGTGTGAAAAAAATTCCAAAAAAAAAGTCTAAACCATCTGGTGTAAACTACATTGCAT